CTCAACGTGGCTCATTTCGTTCGTATTGAAATTGCACATCTTTTTTACAACACACTTTTTTTTGTACGATTCTTCGGTTGTCTTCTAGACGCGGAGAACATGTTTTGGCCATTTTTGCCATTTTTTTGGGGTCTTTTGCTGACATCTCTACTTGTTAAATTCTATGTCAATTTGTTACTATGTATTAAAACTATTACCATATTTTTTTTCGAGTTAGTCAGAATTTTGTAAATATCGATAAGATTTTAAGCTAATTCTACCATACTATTTTTATTCATATGTTATACTTGTAGTAAACGCTACTCATAGAATAACGTACCTTTTCTTATTTTGGGCATTTCTGAGTGGCTGCTGTGCCCTCAAAAGGAAAAAAGTGTTCGTCACTCATTTGCATCCGACCAAAGCGGTCCCTGATGGTGTGACCTTTATTCGCGGTGTTATGTGACAAGTAGCACCACCCTGGTGGTTGGAAGCTGAACCAATTCTACTACTACGTATGTTGTTCAAACACTTCAAACGGTAGACGTGCGAATACAGGCAAAACATGAGTTAGATATTTCATCAATAAGTTTATTAGATTTATTTATAATTATGTGGGTAAAGGATCTCATAAATACTTTGAAGGACGAAATGTAGTAATGCAAAGCATATCTTTTATTGAGCCAAGGAATCGAAAACGTCACATCGATGTCACAATAAACAGATGTGATCTGTTTATTTTCGAAATCAAATAATTTGTTGGGAAAATCTCATATGCTAAAAATTAAAATAAGCCCTGTAAACTCTGAGAGAAAATAGCTATATTGTTGTATCTGTTCTTGCCCAACTGGCTCTCGAGGAAGCTATAAGCATATTGTTGGTGTTTTAACACATTTGTCAAGGTATATAGGTTATAAAATGCAAAAAATATGTAACACTAAAGAACATCAGTTTTCACACACGATGTATCATATAAGTATTTTGTGTTAATACAGAATGCGTAAAACATTTAGTGGATTTAACTTTTAGTAAATACCTTTTCATCCCGTGTAAATCAGTGCTGGCTTAATGTCATTACTGCCGTTACAAGTTTTGCAAATTCAAGCAAGAGCTGCTTGTTGCGTCTGCTTAAGGAGATTTGGGAGTAATAATAAAATGCAGGGATCACAATGATATTCAGTGTTTTTAGATAGCATCGAATATGTAGAACTAATATGAATTTTTTCAATATTTTTTATTCGTCGTTTTTAAAAGAATTATACAAATAAAAATCATGTGATAAACATAGGCTCTTATGGAACGTAACCTCAATTTTGACATTTACATGGACAAAAATTTTTGGAATATGCAAAGATATTCAAAAAACCTACCTATAAGCTAATTATTGCTTAATTATTCAGTGAGAAAAATTTTAAGGTGTATTATAGTGCACTTTAAACAATGCTAACGTCGAACGTAAGTCAAATATCGAGTTTGTTGGGTGCAAGAGGGGGTACGCGATAAAGGGGGCCAAGTTGTACGGATGGGGGGGACTTCCTCTTCCTCGACCCTTTGAATGATACTCCTAAACCTCCTTAAGCATATACATAGCAACCCTGGGAGCAAATCATCGAGTAGACGCATTATTTCAATGCACTATATATACTATGTATACATCATACTTTTGCAGGCTCTTCATATTTTCAATGGCTCTAATATGAAAATGCCTGATTTTATTTACATTTGATTTGATGCCACTGGCGTCCCCTCACGTTTTCAACTTTTGATACAGGCTGGGGTGCCACGTGTTATTCTCGGTCCAAATAGTCACATTGCAGTCACTCTACTCTAGAGAAGAGTAGAAAGTTCCGGAATAATCAGCCTCAGACAGTGGTAGCAATAAATACTCCAATAATATGGACTGCCATTAGAACGGCGAGAATATCCCATGCGATCTCAATTGGCAATAGGCTTTGCCGACTACCAGAGCAGTAAGATAAATTCGTTCTATTCCATTCACTATCTCCCTCTTTTGAATACATTCTATTTACTAGACAGTAAAGTTTATATGCCAATTGAATCCAGAGCTATTGTTTCCACTGACTTCTTGTATTATATATACATCCATCTTCGTTTACTTCGGAGAGAGATAGAAAACAAGCTAAGCAACGAGCCTCTACTATTAAACATAATTTGTTAGGTGTGTATCATACCGTCCAAGGTACCGTCCACCCTTTCCAAAGATACAGTTAATCTGCCCAGTTTTAATGTGCTGTGGCTTTGTATCGCTCGAAAATCGACACTCCCTATACTTCCCTCCCTCAACTCCCATGTAATTTCATCTTCTCTTAAAATACTTTAAATATCTGGATTAAAGTTTAAGGGAGGGAGATCAATGATTTTGATCCATTATGACAATTTACAGTATTAACGGATGGCCATACCGATTGAAGCAATTTCCCTTAAAATAGAAAATAGAACACTGTTTCTATTAAAAAAAATGAATATGTACTAGCTTCAAAGTTAACATTTAAAAGAAACTGTTAAGGATGCCTTTTCATCTATAGCTTGTCATACTAATACAATTCTGAAAGATAGTATAAATACATAGAATATCACATAAGGGAGCAAAGAAGATAATCAAGTGACACAAAATTTCACGAACAGACAAGAAAGAAAAAGTGACTCTGACGTGAGAAAAGATGGAGTGATCGACTTTTTTGACTAAATGTGATGATACTAAACAAAATTTTTTCGTTATGTGATTACCAACATTAAGTTCTTACCAATACATTCCAAAAGAGTACAGAAATTTACTCCAATTTTTGTAGTTTTTAAATTATTAAAAGTGAAAGTTCTCAAAAACGCTACACATGCCCAGAGAATAATAGAGTAGGGTGCATTAGGCATGAGAGATGATAGAGAATGTGGTTATCGAAAAAAAGGTTGAGTGCGAGAATAAATACAAAATTCTAACAAGAAAAGATTTTTTAATAAGTGTAATATTATTTTTACTTGAACAATATTTTAATTTTTTGATCATACCTTATGATGCTGTAAGCATTACAGTAGTAGATGGTACATTTTTATTAGAAATCAAGTACTTATTATTGTATAATTCCCTTACCAATAAGTAAATATTGTGTTTTTTTTTTTTTGTTAGGAAATAATATATTTGTGGCTTTGGCCCGGGCTCGTGGACGACGCCCGCCTCGCCTTGCTCCGTATTCCTGTCAGGAACAGCCAGAAACGTCGGGATGGCGAGGCGGGCTGAATCAAGTGGGAGGCGCTCTCGTGAGTGTAAAACCAGGGCTTGAACCAGAGATAAGTAGGGAGATTGCCAGTGCCTGCAGAGATGAGTAGAGAGATTGCTAACGCCAATGCTACGATGTGAGACGACTTTTTGGCACTGATTGGAGCGCCCCGCCGTGGCCAGCCGTCGAACCGGGCGCACATCTCAGTACTCGTATCGGACAGCGTGCGCCTACGAGAAGAGTAGTGAATTCGCGTGGAAATGGTCAAATAGGCGCACATTTTGGAGAGACGTGGAAGGGGTATACCGAATGTGTGTCTACGAGGAAACCCTCGGACCGGTTCGAGCTCAGGCCACCAACGATCACGTCAGAAGCGACGCCAACGAAGCGATTCATCCTGTCCTCCATCGCGCGGCTGTTTGACCCATGCGGCTGGCTAGCTCCAGTGGTCTTGAACGCCAAACTACTTCTGCAAGACATCTGGCGCGCTCATCTGGATTGGGACGAGGCCGTCCCGAAATCGATGCGCCGTCGGTGGTTCAGCTTCGCAGAGGACATTAAGGGCATCGTCGATCTCTCGTTGCCCCACTGGATTGGATGCTGCGGCTCGGCGCCTTTCGAGCTTCACGCATTCTCAGACGCCAGCCATCGAGCGATGGCGGCGGTCGTGTACGCGCGGCACTCCGATCCCGATGGGCGCACACGGATCAGTCTGCTCGCCGCAAGGACGAAGCTCTTCCCTATACGGAGTCTCCGCCCCTCTCCAACAGTGATCTCACGGATGACGATACCGAGGTTAGAACTGCGGGCAGCCTTGCTCGCCGCGAAGCTGCTCAAGGCCGTTGCCGAGGACCTCGAAGTGCCTGTAGACCGCTGTCACGGGTGGAGCGACTCGCAGATTGTGTTACGCTGGTTGCACTTGCCTGAGCCAACCAACAACGCGCTTGTCAACAACTACGTCGCGCACATTCAGGACCTCCTGCCATCCCACATCTGGTATTATGTCCCAACGAGCTCAAACCCGGCTGACGTGTAGCCTCTCGAGGAACCGACACCGACTCGCTCAGTCACCATGCCTTATGGTCGGAGGGGCCCGCTTGGCTTGCCGAGTCTGCAGACTCCTGGCCGACAGAGCCCTTCGCCCCACCGGACTCCAACCATGGCCCCACGCATCCAGCGGCGCCTTCGAGCCCCGTGCCATTGTCAGAGTCACGCCTGGGGGTTGCGTGCCACACCGTACAGAGCGTCGACCACAACGTGCTCGCGAAGTTCTCCGACCTCAGCGTGCTGTTGCGATTCCTCGTGCGACTGCGGAGATGGGTGCACCTCCGAACGTCGCGGCTCCTCACCAAGCCGATGCTCTTGGCACCGACCTCCAGCGAACTTCGAGATGCCTTCCTCGCCTGTGTTCGCTTAAGTCAGCTGCAGACATTTAAAGAGGAGATTAACTATCTTTGAGACGGCGAGAGTTTGGGCAAGAAACACCCGCTCACCCGCCTGGCTACCTTTCTATGCGAGTACACTCAAGTCCTGCTTGTCGGTTGGTGGCTCCAGCACTCTATGCTGACGAATGACGAGAAGCATCCACCGATCCTGCACGCAGCCTGCCCTCTCGCCCGGCTTGTCGTCACTTGGGCGCATCTTCGCGTTCTACATGGTTGCTTCCGCCTAACGAGCGCCTACGCTGCGCGATGAGTGTGGATCGTTGGAGGCGCTCGGATGATCAAGACCTACTTGCGACAATGCACCACCTGTGTGCGGCTATATGCCCAGCCCGCCGTGCAGCTAATGGCTCCGCTCCCCTCGTCCCGCATCACACCAGCTCGCGCTTTCAGTCGAACGGGCATCGACTACGCCGGGCCCTTCAAGGTACTCGCCTCAAGGGGCCGTGGCATCTACACCACGAAAGCGTACATCGCCGTCTTCGTGTGCATGTGCACGAAAGCCTTGCACCTTGAGCTCGTTGGGGACCTGACCACCGTGTCCTTCCTCGGCGCACTATCCCGGTTCTGCGGTTGGCGCGGCAGACCAGCCCAACTTTGGAGCGACAATGCCATTTGCTTCCGTGGAGTGGACGCCGAGCTGCAAGAGGCGTTGCGAGAAGCCGAATTCCAGTGGGACCTAGTCGCCGGAACTCTCGCCAAACAAGGAGTCAGCCGCTCGACCAGACGAGAACCTCGACAAGCGGAGCCATTGGTCTCTTGTGCGAGGAATGCGCAACCTTTTCTGGCGACGTTGGAGCCGAGAGTACTTAAATACACTGCAGCAGCGCTCTCTAAGCGGACGACGCCGCAGCGGAACTTCGTCGTTGAAGACGTCGTCGTTCTCCTGAACACCACGCTGATTTAGTTGGCTGGGCGTTGGCCTCTCAGCCGCATCACCCGAGTCCATCTAGGAGCTAATGGACTGGTCCGCACAGCAACGATCAAGACTGCCACTGGCGAGTACGTTCGTCCCATCGCAAAGTTGGCTCTCCTGCCGGTCGCGCTTTCTGCTGATCCCGGCCCAACCGTCGCTGAGCCATCAGGACGCGGCCCGGATTCCAGTTCAGCGGGCGATATATGAATCTCATTCTAGGAACAAGGCGGGCGGAATGTTGCTTTGGCCCGGGCTCGCGGACGGCGCCCGCCTCGCCTTGCTCCGTATTCCGGGCAGGAACAGCCGGGAACGCTGGAATGGCGAGGCGGGCTGCATCAAGCGGGAGGCGTTCTCGTGAGTGTAAAACCAGGGCTTGGACGAGAAGGACACGGAAGGAGCGGAGGGCTGTCTTCTGCTACTTGGGCACGCAAATTCGTGTCTCTCCGACCTGATCACTTATACGTTTGTATGTGCTTGAACGCATTGTGATCTCATTAACTTGAAATAAAGACTTTCACTCAACCTATCAATATTGAATATCATAACACAAACAGCTAACTTTTAAATATCATTTCTTCTACTATCTTATTTTGAGAAGTAAGTTATAAATACACTTAACGGTAAAACCACAGAACATAAATATCACATAAGTATCCTGTATACAAGTATACAAATTGTTTAGTCGAAACGACTAAAATTCGTAGGCTGCCTCGTGAGCGGTGGAGCATCAACCTTGCAGCACACCAAAAGTGGCAGCACATCGATTTCACAGAAAATTCATCACATTTACACATGCAAGCACCTGTCAATTTCTTTTTTACCTTTATCCTTTTTCTCCTTTTGTTTCAGTCGGTATATTTAATCGCTTTCGCGCCAACTCTCATTACGTCTCTCTTTTATGCTCTTATTAGCTAGACATTTCTCTCCTTCTCTATCATGCACCTACACCTCAATCCCTTTTACTCTTATTAAGTGTCCTCGGGTCATAGGTCTCTCCCCCTCTCTTAATTACTTACATCATTCTCTCTCTCTCTCTCTCTCTCTCTCTCTCTCTCTCTCCCTCTCTCTTTCATGGCTTTTCGCGTGAGGTGTTAAGGGATTGACGGGTTCTGACGACTGCAGCGGGTGAAAGAATCAAAAGGGGGAGGGGGTCTTGCTACTACTTTGGGTGGGGGCGCCGGGTCAGTTCCGAAGTATCTGTCCATACAGAGCAGTCTACAGTTGTCAACTGCGATCTCGAGTATCTGGCAAAGTTGGGTATTATATTCGTCCTATTGGCTTCTACATTTTTTCTCATCATCATCATGCGCACGGGCATCTGGATGTCACCTTTTTGAGGTTAATTTCTCTTACGCTTTCCTTCACTTAATCATCATCGTCATCTGCATCATCTTCGAGGAGCTCGGCGTGCTGCGAGTAAAGCACGGCGAAAATCCGCTTTACGGACCGTGCGACGTTTGTCGGTTCGTGAGTTTTTCGAGACACGTGTGGACGCGCACGTATACGGTTTCTATACACGTACACACGTACACATGTACACACTCTTCATTCCATGACATTTTATTTCAAAGTTATAGTTCAACCTCACTCGTTTGTATTTTCGTAAATTTTTCTTCTCTTGGGTTTTTCACTTCGGAGTTTTTCCCTTAAGCCACGAAATATATCTTCGTTCGTGGCTCATAATCAGTGCATTTCTTATTTATTCTTATTTACTTTACCCAGTTCCATCCTATCCTTCGTTCATATAAATTTATAAAAATTATTGTTTTTTTTTTGGGTGGATTTTAGTTTATTATTCGTCAATTGAGTAGTTTTTTGTTGTGCCACGATCCCTCGTAAACTTATAATTAATAAATTAGTTGACTTCGTCAAAATAGACGCAGCCAATAGAGCAGCAATACTCTTGTTATATTTCACAAATGGAAACTTTGTTACAGGTTTAAATATACATTAGAAATTTCGGTATGTTAAATATTCAGAGTACTCTCGGTAGTAATGCTAATGAGTCTTAACATTGAAGAATAGTTGAATAGTTTTTAAGTGCTTTAATTCTCTTACAGCGAAACCATGACTTCTACAACACAACTAAATAAACACTGAAGATTTTCATAACTTCAAGAACGATTCAACTCTTTACGTCATTAATTTGATAGCACTGACACATCTGACTTGGATTTTTGTTTTAACAAATCTTCTCTAGCTGTTTTTTTTTGATTTTCATTTTTTTTTAGATTTTAATTATTGAGTACAAGTATCGCTCGTTATTATGTCAGCTTAATTTTTTCTTGATTACTTATTTTACTACGGAACCTCGATGACGTTATCCGCTTCCAAATTAAATTTGTTCTGATAAAAACCATTATTAGTATGTATGTACATGCTTTGTTTACACACTTAATACTTTCAGAATGAACACCAGCAGAATGAGTCTTTAAATTAGATTGACAAGTCTTAAAATTATATGTTATTTTGAAATTGTTTATTGAATGTTTTTCGTATTCAATCAAACATACAATATCTATGTTTTTCCATATTAGATTTTTCTTTAATTTTCATTAAATTTTTGTTTAAAATAGAATACTAGTAAATACGAATGGACTAGAAAAATAATAATTTAAAAATTTGCTTTCTTTAACATAAGGCAACTTCCAAAAGAAAATTAACAGATTCCAACATGATTCAATTCAATACCTTAACTTTCAAAAATTTCAATAATTCTAATATTAATCAACTACTTTTAGAAATATTGATGGTGTCGATGATGACAGAATCCAATGATTTTCTCAGTAACTGATCGTAAAAGTATGAATAGTTAATGAATAAATAAATGGCAAAACTATATGGAGTCTTTGTATTAGGAATTGACAGGCCTAACGATTGTTATAGGTAATCAAACATCAATCTTGTAATTTTTTATCACTCAACTCAGAAAGCACTCTTTTATAAGTATTCTCATCATTGTTGAGCAGTTGTTTTTTTCCAAATCCTACTGGAATATCAACCAACTAAAACGTTTTTTTCAAAATAAGGCTATAAGTTTTAGGTTCAAAGTGAATCAAGTGCCTGAACGTCTGGAACACGCTCGTCACATAATAACTTCTAATACTTGTTACAATTTTGTACAAGAGCTTTTTTGTACCTTCTGAAGTAAAATCAAATACCTAGCCTTTTCTTTATCGTCTTGTGTTAGTTTTGGTTAGATTGACTTCCCCGTGGGGGACCGTCTAGCCTGACTTACACTGTGTACATCTTTTTTTACTAAGGAATGAAAGAGGGGATGTTTTGTTCAAGGGTGATAGAGAAAGTAATGTTAAATTTGTTTATCGATGTGACTGAGAACTTTTGTGCCGTCAGATACACGTATAGGTTTACGTCTAAGTGTTAAGTATGGTGAACCATATGTCACATACATTTACTTTACTTAAACCATCAAAGGTACTTTAAGTAGTAAAAAAAAAAACTTTATGATGAAGTTTTACTAACAAGAGTTAAGAAGTATGACTGTAATATATAATTTAAGGAACTTATCTCATCAACAGCAATGCTTTAAGTCATTGTTTAGGTACAGTTAGCCTATTTTAGAAGTTTTTGAAGGTGGTGCTGACTGTAGCATTACACGAATAGCACTCTACTACATAATAGTAGACACTTTTTTGAGAAGTTCAAATACGCTAAGAAATTTATTATTGTTATTGTATGAATTTATTATTGTATAGTTGGGCTTACACGTTCTAGTATAAGATACTGAATACGTTCATATTATAAATAAGGGGTAAATGAGGGTGTTATTGCAGTTTTTTTTAGTGGTTAGCTTTAAACGTTTATCAAAGAAATTTAATTCGTCAAATTGTTTAAATTTTATTTATCTTTACATGTATATGGACTTATGCTGAAAATGGTTATTTGCTTTGCTTACAATGCTAGATTAGGCGTTTCTGAGTGGATATATAATAAATACATGGTTAACCATTGTTTGTTTTAAGAATTAAAGGTAATTTAGGAAGTCAAAGCCTATAGGGACTTACGTTGACCNAGTAATAAAGCAAAGTCACTAAAACCGTTGTAATCGCGAACCGCGAGAACTGCTGAACCGATTTTGCTGAAATTTTGCATGCTGATTATTGATGAATTGTTTAAATTTTATTTTTTTCTTTTTATTAATATTGGACTCAAAATCTAATGAATTCCACTTTTATGAATGTATAAACTCATGAATAAAGATTTAAAAAGACGTTTGAAAGTTCAGTTTTCAGATTACGGTCAATTTAAATGCTCAATCAACATGGTATCCGCAATAATACCATCATAGTAAAAGAGATTGTGTGTATGCACCAGTTACTGTGGACATTATACTTTGTTATGCGAATGTAAAATGTTGAACGCATTTTTGGAATCGAAGTCTGATTAATTAGATACTTTATAACTTGATTTAACGATTTCAAGTGTTACTCACAATAACTCATCAGTTCAATTAAAATATACGCATTACTCGAGAGTTCCGCAATAATTGAAGCAACCGCAACAATACCCTCACTTGCCCCTACATACAATAGACAAACATAATATAAGCATGTATAAGTGTCACTCTATAGAATGAGATAAAAAAAATAATATTTTTAAATACAATTTTCAGTAAATAAATCTAACAATGTGTCAATGTAGCTTGAAAGCTTTGATAAAATTGGGAGGCTTTTGATCAGAAGTACTGACAATTTATCATGTCCCATGTCATATCAAAAACATTCAAAAAGATTTCTGTAAATAGTGTACTTACTATATGGTTTAATAATAAAGACATAATATTTTTTGTAGAGTGACAAGGTTTCGCAAAGAAGTATTTTAACGTAATATTTAACAACCTTTGCAGAGTATTATTATCATGTAATTCATCATCCATACGAGCTCTCTAGTAATTTTTACGTGAAACTCTTCAATTACACATGAACAGCATTATTACCCCCAAAAAGTCATTTTTACCTTTGCACTACATG